GTTTAATCAATTTTTAACAGGATAATAACTTGGCTATTGAACAACTCAAAAAGCAAAAACTACAGAAAAGAGGGCAAAGGGAATTGATTTTTTGTTGAAAAATGAACTTGCTTGGCGGAAAAGTAAATATCGGGACTAACTTGTCCAGCAAATTTTCAGTTTTGCCGGGCAAGTGGGCAATTGCTTATATTTAACACTATTTGTTTTACAAACATTTACATTTAATTTGTAAAATGTATTTGCGTAAGCAAACCAAGAACACTGATTTTTTTAAAGGACGATTTTTTGGTTGTTAACATCCATGAAAGGAATATCATGATTATAGAATATACGATGTTTGTTTTTGGGCACTTCAACAGCAAATTTTGTGTTTGATTTGTAAAGGTTGTAGACTTCAGACAATTTACTTTTTATAAGAGCTTTGAGATTCAATACCGTCATGCTTCGTAATATGGTAAGAACATGTTGTGGTAAGGTTTAAATGTCCTTTTTACGAAGATAGGGTATGTAGGCTTTTTGTTTTAAGAATATTTTTCAAATCTTCGAACTTGTTCATACTGACATCATTTTAAGTAATTTAATGCCATTTTCTTCATTTCAGTTTATTCAGCTTGTCTTTTCCTTTCTTGTTCGAGATGAAAATGTGCTAACGAATGGTACTAAAAATGATATGGTCGCTATTCAATGACCTCGCCAACATTTACCAAGAAAATCATCAAAATACTTAAAGGTCAAAAGATTTTGTTAAGTAGGGAGGGTAACTCTAACACAAATATTTTCTAGGCCTTATAATAAGTTCAGAAAGAGTGTGCACCAGAGTAGGCCCTGTTAGCTAAATGACTAGAATCCAAAAGAGCAGGAGTATTCGAACGGGGAAAGTGGTATAAAAATCTGGAAACAAAGTGATCCTTCGAAAGAATTAAAAAGCAACAAAATAACATAAGAATTGCAGACACGGTTTGATTGTACATGAGGGATACTGAATAAGTGCAACATCCCCCACGCCCCCTAGCACCGACTTGAGCTGTACTCAATTCTCAACACTGAAAAGTGCTGGCATCAATGATCTCGAAAAACCAGAAAAATATAATAACACTGAAGTGAAGTACGGGGCAACTTTGTACAGCTGCCACTCAGCACTTGACACCTGCTGTTGTGAAGTATAAAAATCTGGAAACAAAGTGATCCATCGGAAGCATTAATCACAACAATATTACATAAGAATAGCAAACTAGGTTTGATTGAGTCTGTACATGAGTGATACTGAATAAGTTCAACATCCCCAACGCCCCCTAGCACCGGCTTGAGCTGTACTCAATTTTCAACTTTTAATAGTGCTGGCATCAATGATCAAAAGTCAACAATTAAACATGGTGCCCACGGTTGCCTCTATAATAATATGTCTGCTTGCAATTGTAAAATTCATGAATTGGCAGTAGTGGTTCATGTAAATAAATATTTGAAGGATGTGACATAAAAGCAAAACATAGTAAGAAATAGAAAGAACAAGTTAGTTTTTAGAAAAGCTATTTTTATTTCTTCTTCTTTTTTTAGCTCTAGAGCCCCTTGAAAGGGACCAATCACATTAATTTGAGCAAACTTGAAAACAAAAAGACATATGAGAAAGCTGCAAACAAACTTTGGTGATAATCCATGTATCTGTTAAGTAAAAGGAATGTTAACATATTTTTTTCTATTTTCCTGCTTTAGAGTCCACAAAAGGGGCCAATAAAATCACTTACAGCAAACTTGATAAATAAAAAACAAAAACAAAAAAACATTTCAAAATGTTTCAGACAAAATTTGGTGGTCATCCATCCATCGATTATTTCAGTAGAAAAATATGGTTTCCTATTTTCCTTCTTTTTCTATTTATAGCATAAAGAAAGTGGCCTCTAAAAGGGACCAATCAAATTAATTTGAACAAATTTGATAAGAGAATACCTAAAAACGCTACAGACAAAGTTTGGTGATCATCCATCAATTAGTTTAGTAGAAGAAGGTATTTAATGGTTTCCTATTTATAGCTTTAGAGGCCCCTAAAAGGGGCTTCTCAAAGTAATTTGAACAAATTTCATAACAGACAATCTAAGAATGCTACAGACAAGGTTTAGTGATCATCAATCAAATAGTTCAATAGCAAAAGATTGTTTTAAGGTTTTTCTATTTTTTAGCTCTGTTGACCCTTAAAATGGGCCAATTGAATTGATATGAGCAAAAAATGTGTGACTGTCACAAGGCTGCTACAGACCAAATTTGAAGTAAATTTGCCCAGCAGTTTCAGAGAAGAAGATGATTGTTGACGCATGACGACGGACCACGTATCATCCCCCTTTGATACTTATAGCTCACCCTAAACCCTCGTCTGTGGTGAGCGAAAAACGTAGTATGGTTACTTTGCATAACATGTTTGACATTATTATGTTTGTAATATTTTTAAGGCTTCTCAATTAGCTACAGAGTGGCATCATTTGTTATCAAAAAATGTTGATATTTTCTTTCGATTAACTCTAATGTCCTCCCGCATTACTCAAAAGGGAAGAACAATGGGTTCATAACAAAGGAGTTGCTGCTTTGATTCCCGGGCAATGTGATTTTTTTCCTGACATATCATACATTGAGTCTTAAGGTCATTTAGCTCTCACGCATGTGATTTTAGTCGTCCGTCACTTGCCGGGCAATTAGAAATTTCTGGTGAGTTATCTAGGTAAGCCGGTGCGGTGGATCGAACACCGGAAAATTATTGAAAGGATATTAGATAATTATATTTTGATGTAAGATACAAAATCCGATATTTAATACATATATTTATATAAAGGTTAATAACAAAATATTATTATTCGTCATATAAATGTTCATACTAAATCACTAAGAATATTGAAATAACATTTTAGAAATATATCCAAATAATACATACATGTATCTATTTTTATCAAGATTTGAAATACTTATCGAAACATATACCCATTATAGAGCAATCCAGTTTTTTGGAAGGGTATGAAGACACATTTCTTTAACAAAGCCTTTAAATGAATATCACCTGTTTGAAACAAGCAAATTTGATTGTTTACATCTTGTAACCACGTGCGCTGTGGCAAATGTGTGAGAAGAGAGTCATGGGGCATCAGCAGTAGATTTTCTGAAATTTCTTCTCGTTTGCCTCATTTAGGTTTGTTGAAAAAAAAACAGTCTTCGACCACCGTACTCAGTATTCAACTTCTCATAAATCCGCCCAAACTTGTTCCTTACAGAGCAGCTGCCGATGTCCTGACTTAGGCGAACAGCCTCACAAAAAGGCAGGATCGACGAGGAATGGTACTAGGGTGAATAGGCCCCTAATACGAAGACGGCGGCTATTAATGAGCTAGTAGCGGGTCGACTAGGAAGTGTGCTTACAGCGGTGCATCTAACTGAAAAAGCAACTACTATAAGGATTACTTTTCAATGAGTGTCACTGGTTACATTTTGTTCTAAGCCCTTTGTGCACTGTACAGTGTCTTTGGCTATGAAAATAAGGTTTTACTACTTTGTATAATGCCTGATGATGGTGTGCATACCATGCTGCTTTAGCATTTGTTGTGCTATATTTGATAAAAACAGTGAGAGCGATTTTTACTTCCAGTTTTTCTGCAAGGAATCTCTTATTTTGAATGTTTATCTTATATTTAACGTTAATAAGTTACAACAAAACTTAGTGACAACCTATTTTGAAAATCATGCAGGCTACTGTTGATAGAAATGAACAAGGAGCATCACTTATCGCAATCTAGTGGTAACACATAAAAAGACTGGTGAAGGGAAAACTATTCAAGATATTATTAATTACAGATAAATGTACATGTAATGAATAGCAACACTGCCAAATAATGTTACATTATTGATCCTTAAACCGTCCTTTTTATTTCATGATTACAATACAATTTTGGGTATTCCTGCTTGACAATTCGTTGACATTCAGTAGTCAGCATGCCAGTTATTTATGTTATATTTATTTTTTTTAATTCCAATTACTTTAACCATTTTAAGATACATGTAATATTCATAACTTATTATCAAAACTTGCATTTTTGACATTGATACTTTGTTTTGATTGCATTATATAAACAATATTAAAATCAAAATAAATCTGTCGCCTGCACTTATCGAAAAACAAAGTTATATCAGAAAAATACATAAACTTGTAACTAATAAAGAAGGTAATAAACCGGAAAGCTTCATAAATTTTCTGATATTTTTCATCGATTTGCACTCTTCAAATGTATGCTGCAAGTTTAAAATAAAGTATGCAAATAGAAAGAAAACATAGAAAATTATAGCTGATTTCGCAGTGATAAAGCTATTTAAAAACGGAAAAAGAAGAAAAGAAAAAAAAGGCTATCGTAAACATTTACTTAGAGTAATAAATAATAAAGTTTTACGAGTAGACAAATTTATATCACTCCTTGTGAAATATTACCAATAAACTCTCATAGTTTGAACCACGCGATTTTCAAAAAGAAATCATTATCGGATCCAATCTTATCAATTTAGCATCAATTCCATTTCCAAAGTTCAAAATCTCCTTATCAAGTGCAAATCATACCCCATATAGCTTCGTTTAAATTTGAAGTGTCTCAAATACTTAACTTACCAAATAAAGCATCGGTTTTTCATTTTCGGAGTACAAAATATCTACAAGTATATCATTTGCCATCTAGCCTTATTTTGATTTTTAAGATAAAACATACATATGAATTCCTTATTATATTGTTGAAGTAATAAAGGTATGTCAAAAAGAGGTCAATGAATATTGTTGAGAACAATACTGGTTCTATTGGAATCGTACAAATCTGCAAAACCTATATCAAGCTTGCTTAGCGCCTCGTCCAATGTAAGCCTAACAGATGTGTTCAATAAAATTCAGTTAGTACCTAACAATGTATAATAACCTCATACTATATACATAGCTTTTTATAAAAGGACTTTGTTTTTTTCACTCAACAATTACATGTACTTTGTTAAATGTAATTATTATCATGTTCTTTTTTCATTCAATATATTTTTGTGTTCTCAAAGTAGTGTTGTTGACTAAACCTCTGAAATTATATTGATTGTGCACAGGCTTCCAATTCCAAGAATACCACAAAAATACTTCTTGTTGGAGCGATAGACGTTGGAACGACATTCTCCGGTTGGGCCTTTTCTTTTAAACATGAATACGAAAAGGATCCGACAAAAGCAACGACAAAACATTGGCTGTCAAACTCAGGAACATTAGTGACAGAAAAAACACCGACATGTGTATTGGTAAATCCCGATGGTAAAACATTGAAAGCGTTTGGGTACGATGCCGAAAACGAATATAGAAAATTAATTGATATTGGAGAAGATGCAAATTACTATTTTTTTAAACGGTTTAAAATGAAACTCTATTCGAAGATTGAAGAAGTAAGTTGTAATATGTATTGATATCTAATAGGATTTTCAAAATTCTTTGCTATATTGTGTTGAAGTTCTTTGAAATTGTAATTGTTGGACGATCATTATTGGTACTTGTAATGGTTGACTAGGTTTCTTTCGAAACTGGGCATTATTTAGATTTGCGAAAGTCTGCAGACATGCGTAATAAAATTCTCCTATGTGCAACTTTAGAGATTTCAGACAAAAACCTATAATAAAACTGTTGATTTAAATTGCTATGATGCTATTGCCGGGGGTTTGCGACTGAATCATATTCACAAAACAATGGCTCATTTCACAGATGTGATAGATGCGAAGAAGATTTTTTCGAAGAACACACCTACATTTTTCAAGGATGTGTCAATCAATATTTCACAACTATCGTCATCGACTGCCTATTTGATTTTGTCATGCAATCAATTTCGACAGGAAATCTGGTTAAATAGTATTTGATTGAAAATTTACCTAAGTAGATACTAGCCGCAAATAGTGACCCGTGCTACATCTCAGTGCATTTCTTATTTTTTTAGGATTTTTTTTATTTCTTGTATCTTATTGTTTGTAGATACATTATCAGGTTATTGTGATCAAGTTCTCCGGGAAATACTTAAGATTTTGGTCTTTATTTTATTAACAAAATGCATTGCTGTTTATAAATAAATTTTACAGAGAACTGTCATATTTAGACATGATTGTAAGTGATCTATTTTCATATAATTATTGGAAGATATGTAAGAAAGTTCTATTGCAAACATACTTTGATTACATTTTTAATTACTTTATATAATATTATATTAGGGCTTAAGAAGAAACATGACTATCGAAGACGAATTTGGCAGATCTCTTCTAGCAGCTGATGTCTTTGGAATATCAATCAAGTTCTTGGTAGATGACATGCTGAATGCTGTAAACAAAGGAATACATGGTTTATTCAAACCATCTGAAATTCACGTGGTTATAACAGTTCCTGCAATATGGTCCGATGCCGCAAAGCAATTCATGCGTGAGGCTACCAAGAAAGTGGGCACACAAATATTTTCACATATTATCATTTTATAAAGACATAAGAGCATGCAATGTTTGCTAATTTCTTTTTAATCTATTCCATATATTTTCATTTAAACGAATTTTAACACTCATTGCCATTAAATTGGAAAAAATAGAATAAATGAGCTTTCTCGCATTTTCATATAGAATAAAATGGTGTTTTAAAATATTGTCTGCGATGAGTTAGTGTGTGTACATGCTCTGATTATGGCAGACTTAAGCACTATGTCAAACTAGAGAATACTTAATCTTTATTCATGAACATTTTTTATAGGCTGAAATAACTAAAGAACGGCTTACGATGGCTTTGGAATCCGAAGTGGCTTCTTTGTACTGCAGGCATCTGCATATTCATAAACCGTGTGAGCTTAGCAATGCATGTATGGACAAGCTGCCGATCGGTACCAAGTACATTGTCTTAGATGCAGGGGGTAATTTTCTGATACATTGCATTTTTGTTTCCTTTATTTATTATAGGTTCATATGAATAATGTATGCTATAGATATGATAGGGGATACTTTATTACTGTTATTGCAATACTGAGTTTGTTGGACGAGTTGAATTGAATTATATTATGCGAGCTCTGGCAAACATGATATTATATGAACAAATTAATGATGTAATGAAGCTAAACGAATATTAAATTTTATTTATCACAAACCATAAGATAAAAATAATTTCAATTGACGTGCTTATTGGCATACGGTATAACTAACGTTTAGCGCGAATTTACGCTATATTTGTGTAACGAAAATATATGCACGGTCTTGCAAATATCGTTTTAAGGAGTAGCAATGCTGAAATTATATTTTATTAAATATTTGAGACAAAATAATTGTTTTTTATTCCATACTGTGGTCACCCAGAATGTTAACATTTTTTTCAGTTAACATGGATATATAAACAAGACTTAGAATAAACAAAAATAGTTTGTAATGTTCGTTTGATAAAATACTGTTTCAAGTTATTAAGAGACAAACTAAATAAAAGGATCTTGTACAAAACACGCGTTGAAGAACAACTACAAAACTGCTCTCGATCTAAAATCAAGTAAATATTTTCTGATATTAACTTTTAAGCAAAAGGAAAAAAGAAGAATATTTATAAGTATTTTTATACATTATGACATGATTAGTTTCTCCCTTACTGCGCCATTATACGGCAATGAACGTTTAAAACTCACAGATAAACATTGCCTTTGAGGTTAAGGTTAAGAAAACTTTCAAAGATATCGAATGTAAGAGGAATGTTTTTCAGGTGGAACAATAGACGTTACAGTGCACGAGATAAAAAGTGAACATACCTTAAGAGAAGTTAGACCTGCAAGTGGTGGCGATTGGGGATGTATAATGGTTGACAAGGAATTTGAAAACTTGGTAGAACGTATTGTAGGAGAAAAAGTTTTTGAAAAGTTCAAACAAGAAGAAAAGGAAGATTGGCTTGACATGCAACGAGAATTTGAGTTAAAGAAACGAGAGACGAAAGTGAATAGTGCTGATAAAATAAGGATGCGATTTCCTCTTTCCTTAACTAAGCTTTACGAAAAACACTCGGAGAAGGACAGTTGTACTTCTTTAGCATCGTCTGGGTATGCAGGAAAGATTAACTTGAAAAATGATAAGATGACGATACCCAACACAGTCTTTGTTGAACTTTTTGACAAATCAGTGACAAAGACGATTAGTCATCTGAAGTCCCTGCTGGCCGAGGACTCATTTAAAGAAGCGAGAATTTTACTGATGGTTGGTGGTTACTCTGAATCGCTGGTCTTACAACATGCGGTGATAGAAGCGTTGCCGAAATTCAAGTCGTGATACCCGCAGGGGCTTCATCGGTTGTATTAAGGGGTGCTCTACTTTATGGGCATAACCCTTCATCAATAAGTGAAAGGAGTCTACAATATACCTACGGTACTGATACATCAAAACCTTTCATTGAGGGATTTCACCAAGCGAACAAACGTTACATATCAAAAGACGGGGAAATTAGATGTTCACGTATCTTCAGCAAAATTGTTACAATTGGACACATTTTAGAAACGGACGAAAGAAAAGTAACAAAGACATATACATGTTCAACTTTAAATGGTAAGAAATCTGGGTTCTTAAACATTTATGCTTCAAAGGAACGAGATCCATTTTACACAGATGATGCCGGTTGCCATATGATAGGAAGACTTCTGACAGATTTAGACGAGGAAAGAAATAGTAAAGTAACAGTATCTTTGTTTTTTGGCGGAACAGAGATCATCGTAGGGTTGGAAGATCAATGCACTGGTAAAAAGTCGATAACCTCTGTTGACTTTCTTGGTTAAAACTAAAACAAGTAAACAGTTTTGAAAATTTGCCGTGCTAGCTTAATTATGGAGCTTTTCGCATAGACAATTATTACAATAATTTAAAATCAATGCAATGAAAGAATTCATTTCAAACCAAATTTTAGTGCTATGTACGGGTGTCAAAATACCGTGAAAGTACTTTTTTCTGCGGGAACTTTTTTTCTGTTATTTCTGCGGTTTATAACGACACCACAGATTTAAAAACCGCAGAAAATTAAGCCTTTCGCTATGTCTACATGTATGTCTTAATATGTCAACTACCTGTATTGTATGATTACATTACCATGTACCGTTATCAGCTGTTGTAGATAGGAATAATTTTTCTTTATGTATCCGTCATGAATAAAATATGAGAAAAAAATTACTTTACTTGTACTTTCTGTTAAGCCCGCAGAAATAAGTACTTATACGGTATCTATAAAAATATATATTGTGTGAGTGAGAAGATCTACAAGGGAGAACAAGGGTTAAGAAATATTGCTAGCCTCAAAATAACTTTCTGAATAATATCAAATTGGGCACTGTACAGTCCATGAAGTGGCTAAAAAGAGATACATACAATAGGAACCCTTTTAAATGTTATTTTTGTTTAAAAAATGCAGTTTATTAACCTTGGTTAAAGTAATATTTATGTTTAAAAGTTCTGCGTTATCATTTTACTTTTATGACATTTAAGTTTTACGTATTTTAAATAATTGTAAGTACAAAAACTACACTGCAAGAGAAATATTTAAGTGAAAATAAGTTATTTTTTCTTCCATGCGATGTAGCATTCCCCTTTGATACTTATAGCTCGCCCTGAACCCTCGGTTGTGGTGAGCTCAAACGGAGTATGGTTATTTGCCACAACATATTTGACATTCATTATTATGTTTGAAATAAGTTTTAGGCTTCTAAATCAGCTATAGAGTGGTATAATTTGTTATCAAAAAGATGTTTTTCTTTTGATTAACTCTAATTTCCTCCCGCATTATTGAATATGAAGATAATCATGTTGATATCAGAGGGTTTGAATTGATTCCCGGGCAAGGTGAAATTTTTCCTGACATATCAAACATTGAGTCTTATGATCAGTTGTCTCTCATCCATGTTGTATTAGTTGTCGGGAAATTAGAAATTACTGATGAGTTATCCAGGAAAGTCAGTCAGGTGGATCTGATAAAAATGTATTAAAATCGGCGTAAAAACCAGACAAACAGATACTGCATTATAATATTGCGAGAATTAAAGAAACGATAACAATATGGAATGAAAATAAACAAAGTGTTTGATAATGTAATCAATTACAGTTTGTAAGTGCGTTCTACTAAGAGAGACATCTATCTAAACTCCATGATTTCTTTTGTTTTCATTAACATAATTCGTAAAACTGTACGTTATCATCAAGTTGCAACATTCCATTTAAGAATAAATGAAATGGTACATAGTGAATTGGTTAATAAACAAATAATTATGGTAATAGTGTTTCAAACATAACAACAAACCAAAAAAGAATTAAATTTGGATGCGTTTTGTAAGATACTTAATCCGGTATGTATAACGTATATAAATTTAAGAGGTAATAAATATCAGAGCAAAATATTATTATTCACCTTTTATTTTCAAACTCAATCACTCACAACTTTATCAACATTTATTTTCATAAGAACTTCCAAATGATACATTTCTATTGCGTATATCAAGAAGTAGTCAAGGGCCGAAGGATAGACCACATTTTTGAGTAAAAAATCGGAACTATTCAAGCGTAACGACAGCGCGCCGTCATATTGGTATATCTAGCAGATGATATTTTTAAACTGTCTGCCAAAATTTGATTTTTTACCAATATTTGATTTAAGCTAGTATTTTAAACTTTTGTAGCAGACGCTCTTTTTCCAATTAAAGGTATATTGAGCGGCTATGTTGATTGGTTCATTAAAGTAAAGTCAGAATTTCATATCAGACGAAAAATAATTTAACATGGCCTTTTGAAATGCAACTACGCTGAAACTAAGCGTACATTCTACATACAACGGCCTGTTTGTTTAACGCTACTAATTCTCGTAGGGATGTTTACATGCTTTAACGGGGTAAATACAACGAACATAAAAGCAGTACAAGATTTTGTGACTTTAGACATATTTTATTTACAATTATTACAACATAGATTACGCAAGTCTTAGATAATTGAAACAAATATAAAATACATAAATACAATGCGTATACTTTTAAATAAATAGGCTACAATAAACTAAACAATGTGATTTTCGATACAGTCATGACTAATAACCGTAAGGAAACGAATGGTAGTTTTCAGAGATCACTCTCTTGTCAAACACAATTTTATAGTCTTTTATTTCAGTCTTTGTTATTATGCAGCAAGTTTCCCTATTTCTAACGATTTTATTTCTGTCCACAACTTTAATGCATTGGTTTTGCATTTGTCCTGTTACCATATCTTTCAGTGTATCAAAATTAATGACCATTGAGTTCTTAAAATTCAACGTTATTCCCCTGACTTTACAAATTGAAGGTTGACCTTTTTTGTTTGGTTTTTCTAAACAATATGCGTAGTTCTTAGGCCCCCAGTGATGAATCTAGTTATTTGATTGTTTGGAACTTCATCCGTTAAATCTCCCAGGAAGTCACCCAATTGAGGATCCCATTCACCTTGTGCAGAGGTGAACACAACAGAATCGGTATCACAATACAAAACTCTTTCACCTAAGGGTTGTAAATAACTGTACAATTTTAAACGGGCTTGAGCCGTTGTGTATGCAGCCACAACAACATTGGTTCTACCTGAAGTTTCTATGAAATCAGTATTTTATGCCCAGTCTAATTGGACTGCTTCATCATTTATAAAAAGTACGTTCTTGATTTCTTGTTGGTCAGATGTCATCATATCAACGAATTGAGCTGGATCGTTTATAAAGAGTGTTTGCGTTAGATTGGAACGTTGTCCAAATTCCCCCCAGAAAGAGTTAAGAATAATTTTAGCTAAAAGTCTCAGACCAGGATGTTCTTCAATTATCATAATCCAGTAAAAAACCTTCTTTTCAAAATACTGCTTAATATACAATTGTTTGTTATTTTCATTTTCACACCAGTCTGGCCAACCACTGGCTTCCTGTTTAACTTTCAAAAAAGTATTTACATATTCTGTAAAAAGCCCACCCGTTTTGGTACGAGGGTCGTATTGAGCTATTTCATTAAAATGCCATACTTCGTAAATTTTAAGTAACCTATAACCTTGTGATAAAGCCATCTAAACTTCATCAGTGACCCAAGTGCCTGTAATAGCCCTTTCATCGTTGCCATGGTGACATTCTCCATTTTCATATGTTTCACTGCAGGTGCGACATAGAGTGAACATAAACTTACCGTTGCATTTAGTTGGGAGAACAGGAATGTAGAGTTTTCTTGGAGGTAGAAGTTTGCATTTAATTAACCCTTCATATTTATTTACGTTTCTCAAAACGTTCAGTGATTATATTTGGATGACCTAAGGGTATTTTCCCTGTTTTATTGATGTAGGGATAAAGAGATGTAACATCGAAGTATTTAATCTGAGTATTAGCCGTGGACTCTGCATACATTTTAAATGCTTCAGTACGTCCACCGTGGAATGCATCTCTAGGTTCGACACAATTTCCAAAAATTCGATGTACTTTTTCAGGATAGGATTGGATTCTAATTTCTGTTTGAAAACACATTCCCGTATACATTCATAAATATACCCTTCAGATTCAAGATACTTTTGCTTATCAAGGGTGTTTGTGTATAATTCAGACATGGATAATCCATTGACCCGATTAATTGTGTTTTTAGAAAAACATTTCGGACAGCCATACCAAATGCCAAAATGCAAGGTAGGATAACCATTGATAAGCCATGACTGACTGTTTAGCCTCTGGTCGGCAACCATGAGATGGAATGATACCAATAGTTTCGTGATCCAGGAAAAGGCTCCTAAAAACAAGATTACAAGCTGATGCTGTTGTAATGCATTTCTCAAATGGATCTATTCCATCATTGTCCGACGTTTGAGTGAGTTCTTTGAACAGTGTTCTAAATTTTAGACAGCATTTCCTAAGATTATCAACATCAGAGTGACAGTAACGTAATAGTTCTGTCTGCAGTGAAAAGTGTTTGTGCCGATTGCTATCGTACCATTCTAAAAAAAAACTTTTGACGTGATTTCTTGTTTCAAACTGTCGGGGTTATAAATACTTAATTGTCAGGTAGATGATTTGAGTTTCTACTGATTGATTTTCTGTCGTATTGGATAAATGTGGAAAGTACCATTTTTGCCCAGTTCAGTTTCTCCAAAAGCTTTAGGCATGTCTGCAAGGGCCATTGGAATAAAATTCAGAGAGTCAATGAATCTTATTTGAAAAGATAGTATACTACAAATGGACATATATTTTTTTGATCCTGTTGTGATCACCTTCGGGCCATAATGGCGTTGATCATACAAGAATTTCATGACCGGATAACTATCATACCCTTTGAAAATTATGACAAAGAACTGTGGCACCTTTATTTTTCAACCGTGAATAACCATTCACAGAATGTCTCCGTGGTATTCAAACCTGAAAAACACCATTTCCTTGGGACCAAAAATTTCGAACACTTTGAAGATGAAAGTAACTTCAGGATGCATGCAAGTACTACAAACCCTGTTGCTACACATAAAATTTGCCCTATGTTCCATAGATCCGCACCAGGACTTTTTACAATTAACACATGTATTGTTTACACCAGGAAGGTAACCAGCAGCGCATTCACAGACGTTTATCTTGTGTGCATTCGAGATCAAAGAAAATGTATTTTTGGTCCTGTTTTTCTCTCTTTGTGTCATTTTCTGCTAGAGTGTCATCATCTTCAACCGGTTGCATGTAGTAAAGTGATTTTTCACTAACAAAGTCTTTTTGCATGTGTCGCAATACTTTTCACCACAGATATGGTCATGTTTTATGTTTTTTGAACAATTAATAAGTTAGCTGGCAATGTTTACATCTGTAATACAATTCGCAAGTTGATTTTCCCTTCTCTGTCTTCTTTACTATGCAGATCGAAACAAGCTTTGATTTACAAATTTACAGTTGCAGGTTTCACAGAATTGCCAATCTTCAGACACATCTTCATGAAGCTTACAACAGTAATGACACGGGTTATTACACTTATGACGTTCTTTGGTGATCGATCCTTTTTTACACTTTTGGCAAAAAAATTTTCTGTTTAAAAAACTCCTGTCATTGACGTTATTAACGTCATAATGATCATCATAATTTTGAAAATGTATATAGATACACCTCCCTCTGGTCCTTGATAAATGATGGCGTTTGAAGTATGCTTTAGATACTACGTGGATCTGATAGTTTAGCATGGAACGCCTGGAATTTCTTCACCTCTTCTATTCCGCATTTACCAAGTGGCACGTCCGCTTTTTTTCTATGGCCAAGTATCGTTGTATGTGACGGCCTTTTCGTATGCTGTCCCATTGGTGGGTGTTTTTTCGACACGAGCTATAGCTGTAGCTAGTGCTCTGCCCACAGCAAAAATCATCCTTATTCTTTATTTGTATTACACACAATGTCTACTGTTGGTTTCATTCTGTATCCTTTGATTTTCATGTTGTGAAAAATGTTCATCAATCGCATCTTTTTTTTGTAAACACTTTAAGACATTCTGGACAGTGGGTGAGAAAATTTTCGTCGGCATGCTTCTTCATATG